TCACCTTGTTCACTGGTTCTTCAGCAGGCTTGTTTTTCTCAGCCTTCTCATAGCCCATTCAGCTCAGCATCCCCTCTGTTTGGCACTTAGAAATGCACAGCTCCCATCTCCACTGCTGGCTGCCAGCTGGAAACAGCACTCAGTGCCACATCTCCCTGTTTGCTTCCACAGGCAGAAGGGCTTACAAACAGCTTACCAAACTGCACGAGGAACAGCAGATACAGCCTAAAAACACAGCCTTCGCATGGGACTCGCATGGCTGTGTGACTCAGAACCCAGGCGTCCCTCTGCAACCCACACTGCAGTCAGTGCAAATGAACCCTTTAGGTGCAGGGAATTTGCTTCTCAGCATCTCTTGCAGCCCCAGCTTTGGTGGATGCACAGCTCACACCCAGAGCTGTATGAGCATGAGAGGCTTACTCACATCTAGAGTGCTAGGAGTTGCTCATGACAGCAATATTGGGCTGGGGACCTGACCTGGTGGGTGGCAATCAGCCCAAAGCAGGGGTTGGAACATGGTGGCCTTTAGGGTCCCTTTCAACCCAGCTGTTCCATGGTTCAGTGATACTGCACTCAGTTCAAGAAGGACAGTAAATCTTGTAAACCTATACATCCCTGGATGCAATCAAGGCCAGGATGGATGTGGTTCTGAGCAGCCTGGTCTAGTGGTTGGTGACCCTGCCCAAGGCAGGGGGGTTGAAACGAGATGATCACTATGGTCCTTTTCAACCCAGGCCATTCTATGATGCTATGATACCAGATCCAGTTCATAATGCCTACTAATTATAATTTGTTCTTTGTACTGTTTTATAAAAAAGGGTGAAGGCTCCGATATTCTGTGCACCATGCATCCTAATATATGGACATTAGTTATACTAGAGTGAAATATTTTCATTCTACTTATAATTGCAAGAATTGCAATAACTGTTGGCAGACACAGTATAGAGTCTAAAGACTGAAAACAAAGAATTTTCACATTTTATCTATCTTGGAAGGACTGGAGTTGAACCATTTCAAAAACAGTACATCAAAATTCGAGGACAAGATAAAATCAAAGCAGTGATCACGCTGGTTGGCCAATTCCATCAATCCCACCTGTCACAGCCTTGGCCACGTGCCCTCCATCCATGCAGCTGGCAGAAACACAGTCCTAGCATGGTGCTGCAGCCAGGGAGTTGATGGCTCTTTGCTTGTTTTCAGAATAGAGACTCACTCTTTAGAGATGCTAATTTATCCTTTTTCACAGTCAGCGAGCTTGCTTATGGCAACGAAAAGAAAACAAACAGCGAAACATCTTCAAGGTCTAGTGCATAATTGCACCAACGCAGCTGCAGCCTGCGTGGAGGTTATGGGCTGCGCTGCAGACAAGCTGGGCTCCCATTTTCAGTGCAAAATACATGAAGGTGAGAGAAATTCTGACCCCGGGGTATTGCTGGCTCCTGGGCAGTGCCCAGGGGCTGCTCAGAGCTCAGTCTGCAACTTAGGAGCCCATGAGCATCAGGGCAGTGGAGCAGGTGTGGGTTTGGCTGCGTGCATCCGCAGCCATATAACCATCCCAGCTGGCCGACCTGCCACTGACAGACCCCTGCCTAACACAGGGGAATGATTCAAGTGCAGCAGTAGGATTAGGAAATGTTTAAGGACAGATTCAAGAGCTAAAAGGCTTCTTGTATGATTCTGCAGAGGCAAGTGTAGCTTCCACTTTGCTCACAGCAAATGTGCCACCTCAGAGCACCACCTTCACTGCAAAAAGTGATTATCAGTGCATGCAGTAGCATCTCCAGGGGAGCATTGCACTGTGACAGCACAGGAGCCTGGCAAGGGCACAGCAATGCAATCCAGCCCTGGCAGAGCTGCCCTGCCGCTCTGGGCTGCCCACACACATCTGCTCCATCAGCACGTCGAAATGCCAGGTGTGACGGGGATTGCAGAGGATGTGGCTGTGTCCCTAAAGACTCAGTGACACTGTGGGATCACAGGGTTTGGCAGAGCAAGATGAGAAGTGACAGCTGAAACCGGCTACAGAGATGTTAGTGGCATTTGGAAGAAGCTCGGATGATGCAGGTCATTGGTTTCCTCTGGTGTTGCTAACATCATAACATTTCTCATGTAGTGGCAGCTCCATTTCTTCTCACATGGCATTAATATTTCCCCAGTTTAAAGTTCAAATAATGTCTTGCTTTCTGCTTCTGATGTGCCTTCTGGTAAAATCCAAGGGTAGAAAACAGGAATCATGCCCCATCACTCTGTCTTGGATGGATTACTCCACTCTGGAGATTGCTAAAGAGGATGGTATCCCTCCATAGAATTCAATGATCAGAAACTGGAATAAAACTGAGATGTGAACCAGACTATAACTGTGGAAAAATGAATAATTCTGCTGTTCCAATCTCACGTAAAGCAAAGAGAGATTTTAAGATATACATTTTCTGGAGTCTCATATGTGCACTCACTTTGCCTAAGTCATCCCCCCAGCCATACAACGCTGGGGGGGTATTTCATCTGCAGCTGGTTGGTAGGATGAGCTATATATTTCCCCAGCTGTTTTCAGGGCTATTGTGCATAATACCATCTTCATCTTCACTGAGCTAATCCACATAACCTATATCATCTCCTTTTTGCTTAAGTTTCTCTCTAAACACTTACCTAGAAACTAGACTCAAATAAATTCACTTGCATAGGCAGGCAGAAGGATGTATGTGAGATGACAGACACACATGGAGCTAAGGATCACCTCTTGTAACAGCCCCACTTACCTTCATAGCCCCTCTGGGCTCTGCCTCACTGCAGTGATGCATTTTTATAAAATCTCCCGTCCCCACCCAAAATCTCTTTTTGGTCTCCAGACCTTTATATTTGGGAAAACCAAGCTGCTGAGCCCTGGAGAGAGCCTTCTCAGAGCTGCTTGTTAGCAATATTGCTAGTTAGTCCTTCACGCGTCTTGTATCTTACCCCTGAGGCTGATTTAATGATGCTTGTAGCCAAAAAAACCTGTCTCTGAAAGGTCCTCAGCCTCTGCCAGCATGTGGCTGCACCAGGTGGGCCAACCTCTGCAGCAGGGATAGAAACCCAATTTTATCGTAATTTACAAACATCTAAAGCTGTAAGAAAGTTTGAAAATACGACATCACGTTACACACTGTGTGGAAAAAAAAAGTCTCTAATGATTGCTTAGGGCAGAAGTGATAATGAGAAAATCAAGGCAGATTTTCCTTAAGGACTGAGCAGAGGGGGAAGTAAACAGGCATTCCTTTGCAAAGTGGGGAAAGAATAGGAACTGG